GGGGGGGGCGGTGTGGGGCTTGGCGTGGAAGCGGTGCCATTGAATTACTTGCACCGCCACGCCCCCTCCCGCCCCAGAACGCAGGGGGAAGTTTCGTGAGGGATCGCGGTGCATTCCAGCAGCATTCGGTGTGAACAACCCCTAACATCTTAGCAACCAATAGGGCACCTTTGCACTGGATGCTGTACACATGTTGCACAAAAGCACTTTTCATGGAGGATTGTGCGGCCAGCTTCTGCCAACAGGACCCTGCGTACTACTTTCCATATTTTCATAGGGCCGTGTGCATGAACCTCAAGAAGGACAAGTTTGTAGCACAGAGGTACCTTTAAGAAAGGTTGGTTTAATGTTGCTGTGTGATAGCATATTCCACATATTATATATACTGCTTACTATCTCATATAGATGTGTAATACAGCCCCGTGTGTGGGGGAGAGCAGGAACAAAGGGCAAGTGACTGGCAGGTTGTTAGTAGGCGGGTGGCAGCAGCGCAGAGGACGCGGCGCAGGTAAAGTATCATGATATTAATAAAACATCTATTACTATCTGAATCAGCGGCCCTGGGACTTCTGTGAAGAGTCTGTAGTGGTTGCAGCACATTCAGCAGGGGGTAGGCAACTTCAGCGCTCCAGCAGTGGTGACACTACAACTCCTATCACGCCTCTGCCTCTGGGAGTCATGCCTGTGGCTGCCAAGATCCTTGCAATGCCTCATGGGACTTGTAGTTCCACAAACACCTGGGGTGCTGAGGTTGCCTGATGTAAAGCATCAAAGGAACCTATCACAAACATTCAAGAAGAACTCCTGGTAGAAAAAAACGTATCCTTGCAATGGGCCTACCCCCCGCATAACCTGGTGATCCTGCCAGTGACATATTTCCTGCCCTAGGGTGACAACACCCACTTTACTCTATCTATGGAGAAGCAACATTGCCACCCTAGACTGATTGCTATTGATTTGGACTACAGAACACGTCACCATACCATGGGGGGGTTGTGGATTGCAGTTCACAGAAGGGCTGAAAACTCCTCTTAATGTAGCACAGGCAGAAAGTATACGAAGTTAGGAGCTAACTGGATTTATGGCAGGATCAGCATGGTTTTTCTTTTATTATCCAAGCTGTCAATGGACCTAACTGGAGCAAATAAGGTAAGTTCGCCGTCAGGGTTTCCATACACGTTAACAACTAATGATGAATGACATTGCTGTGCCGACGCTTGGTTCCTGTCCCTGCGTCATAAGCAGGTGCTGCATTAAAGGAGAACTATGAGGTTAAGGCTTTTCCCCATAGTTCTCCTTTAATTGCCACCCCAGTAAAAGGCTACCAGTGATCTGCCCCTCCCCGTCACCTTACCACTGATTACAATTAAGCCGCTCTTTCGCTTGACTCGTATCTTCCCACGCCGCCTCCCTGCAAGCCGTCCTCGCTACCCAGCTGGACACTGATTGCGGATTGATGCAACCAGCCACGCAAATCACTTCCACACAAATCCTCCTATTCTGTCTCCGTGAATTCTTAAGCCGTAAGCTTCCATCGGTTCTGCCTGCGCTGGGGACACTTCGGCGGAGCGAGAATTTTGTATTAGCGTCGTAAGGGCCCAGATTGCTGTTACAGATTGCAGCCCATCTATATCATTATAAATAGAACGTTCGCAGGAAATGCTATTAATATGGATGTCAATTTACAACTGCATGTAAATCTCCCCTCCAGTCAACATGCTAATGATAGGCCAGGGAGTCAGGGACAGTTAGGCTGGGCAGGAAACACTAGATGATGCTGCATGTCCTCCGTCCAGGAAATGATGTCGATCAGACTGAACAGATCCAATGAATGCATGAAGAGCTGTTGTCTGTGTAATCGGCATTAGGGAAGAGAATACCCCGGGAGCGATGGATGAGGATTGGTTGATGGAGCCTAAAACTGGCAGTGTCGGGGACTTTGACCCTTACTTTGCAATCGATACTTGAAATCGTGTGTCATCGATAACCCAAATCTTACAAATCATGTGATCTGGGGATTACATAAAAAATACCCTTGCAGTGGGTCCCGCCTCCCAATCTGTTAAGGTGCCCATACACTGCACGATTATCGTACGATAATCGTATGCGATCGGTTTTTCGTACGATAATCGAGCAGTGTGAACGGAGACGTGCGACCGTTTCTACTGTACGGTCGCACGTCTTCTGTCGAACCAGCATGTTCGAAAACCAGCCGGGAATCGTACAATTCTCGGCTGGTTAGAACGGTGCTCGGAAGACAAATGCCGAACGGGCCGGTGTGCGCACGCGCACACTGCCCGTTCAGCATTGCGGTCATCGGAAGCCCGCCCCTCAGGGGGGCGGGCTTGCCGATGATCGAGAGTGCGATCTGCCTGTCCAAGATAGGCAGATCGTACATTTTTTTAATCCCTGTACAACCATCGCAAGACTAAAGTCTTGCGATGGTTGTAGAGTGTATGGCCACCTTTAGGGTTAAATTCTCGTTAAGTCTAGGGGAAGGGGAATAAAAGTGCCCACACACCTTGCGATAATCGTACGACAATCGCGGGAAATCCCACGATCGTACGATTATCGTAAGGTGTGTGGAAGCCGTGCGACCTCTGCTACTGTACGGTCGCACGACTTTTATCTTAGGAACATGTTCGAAAACCCGCTGAGCATCGTACGATGTGCGGGGGGTGTGTAGCATGTTCGTAAGATAAAAGCGGGACTGCTTCGGCATTGCGGTCATCGGAAGCCCGCCCCTCAGAGGGGCGTGGCTTGTGATCATTGCAAGTACGATCTGCCTGTCCAAGATGGGCAGATAGTACGTTTTTTTTAATTACCTTACAACCATCGCAAGACAAAAGTCTTGCGATGGTTGTAAGGTGTGTGCCCAGCCTGAGGTGGAAATAATTATGTGCTTGGTGTCAACCTGGTTCAGGGGAGTGCGCCCAATCATGTGCAAATCTGCCACTGGCACACCCCACTTCCTGCCCAATCAGTTGTGGCAGGGATATTCCCCACCCAGCAGCTAAATGTCACAAAGGGGCTGATAATGCCCCGGTTGCAACTGATTGGGCTAGGAGGGGTGTGCCCGTGGCCGATTTGCACCGGCTTGGGTACACTCTAGTGAACTGGGTTCACACCAAGCCCATCACTAATTCCACCCTATTCCCCTACCCCTAGACTTAACGAGCATTTAACCCTTGCAGTGTAGACTGTAGAGGTGGGCCCACATCAAGGGTAGTTTATGTGTAAGGCCTTGTTCACACCAGATGCAGTGCGTTCCGGCCTGATTCTCGCCAGAACGCACTGCCTCGCATTGTGGCCAGCTCACTTTTTTGTGGGGCAGGAGGTCCATTGAAGTGAATGGCACCGTGGCTATGCACTCCGGCCACAATGCCTGCGGTCCGGTCCAATGAAAATATTGCTTGCAGCATTATGATCGGACCGGACCACAATGCGATCCCTTGCGGCGGATCGCATTGTGGCCGGAGGGAGTGGCTACGGTGCCATTCACTTCAATGGACCGCCACGCCCCCATCTGGTTCCCAGAGTTGGGCTTCAACCAGGTTCACACCAAGCCCCCACACAACACTAGGTATACAATGCGTAGCCCATTCCCCACTCCAGCAGGCTCCTTCCATCTGTGCAACCAGTCCCCCGAAGCCTCTTCTCTAATGCTCACCACACATGCTACAATCTGATTGTACAATATCCTTTAGATCAGCCAACAAGTATGTAGTGAAAGGGTCTGCCAGGTTGGATGCAAATTGATTGGGTACTATAAGTGGGCCCTCATATCACACAGTTTTGTTAAATATAAAGTTGATTGTATGGCCAGATTGTAATGAGCCAAAGATGCCCCGGCTGCGGTTTTAGGCTGACGTCATCAAGTGCAATGTATGGCCAATAGCATTGTATGTTAGGATGACGATGCACATTAGGATGGCAAGGGACCGCCCACAGCACCAGGGTAAGGAACACGGTAAGTATTACACCTTATTGCCCAACCCTGTAAACCTAAGGAGCATTTAACCCTTGAAGGTGGTTGTCACTGCGAGGGTAGTTTTATTCAAATGTCCAAAGTTTGGCTTTAAAGGGAAGAAGTGCTCAGCAAATATAAGGAAGCAACTTTTAAGACTTTATTCACACGTCTAGATGTAATTCCAGAAGTTGGGTTTAAAAAAAGGAAAATTGATGACAGGTTCTCTTTCTCTGACTTGCTCTATGTACGCTACGCTGCCCTGTGTGCAGTACCAAGAACTGACCATTAGGTGGCGTTGCGCGTCGCTTCCTCTCCCTCACGCTTTTGCACCGTTCCATGCAGTACCAAGAACTGGCCATTAGACGGTGCTGTGCGGCGCTTCCTCTGCCTCCCGCTTTTATAACGTTACATGCAGTACACATATTCCGCCGCTTGGTGTCTCTGCTGCAGCGGTAGGCGACGCCAGGGCTCCGCTGTGTTTACCGGTGGTAGCGGCGGCGATGGGTGAGACGGAGACCGGGGGCGAAGCTGCAGTAGCAGCGGAGAGGCCGGGGCCTCCAGCCGAGGAGCCAGTGCTGTGGAGCCCCGAGGTGGAAGTCTGCCTCTTCCATGCCATGCTCGGGCATAAGCCCGTAGGTGAGTCTAGGCCGCAGTGCATCCCCGAGCTTGCGTAACAGCCCAGGCGGGGAAGGTAAACAATAGGCGTGGAGAGATAAAGAAGGCCCGGAGCCCGGGCGCTTTCTACGTGTAAATCGTCTCTAATGGCCGCCAGCTGTTTCCAGGGACTGTCCCGGGTTTGAAGGAACTGTCCCTAGATGTATTTTGTTTTCCTTCTTTGGCTAATTATACAAATCCCCTCCCCCATCTCTTTATATAATACATTCATTTTCTATACTTTTGGGGCCCATTTCCACCAGTCTGGCCTGCGGCGGAGCATTAAATGCATGCGCATTGGTTTGTGCATTGCAACAGGTCATCTGAAAGGGCTGCCTGATGTACTACACACCAGTCCTGGGCAGCGATATACATAGCACTGCATTCCTCAATGTACATTCTGAAGGTGATCGCTAACCGGCGGGTAAAATTGTTTTATTGCAGCGCGCCCCCTCTACAATAAAGAGCCGGCCTGCTCCAAAGTTTTCATTTTTTCACTTTAAAGAGCCCTGTCATAGGAGCGCCAACTGCAATCTAAAGGTACACAGTGGAAAAAGACGGATTCTTTGCTGTATTCAAACTCGGGGCGCTGCAGGTATCTGATACCTCTGGGTGTGTAGAACACCCGCTTCCTGTTCCTGTCGGCTCCTACGTCACTACAGGACGGGGTGGCCGGTATCTGACACTTCTGGGTGTGTTAGATCGCTGATCCCCCTGCGTGTTGTGGTTCCTCCTGTCAGGTCCTACGTCACTACAGGACGGGGTGGCCGCTATCTGCCACTTCTGAGTGTGTTAAATAGCCGATTCCCCCTCTGCATGTTGTGGTTCCTCCCGTCGGCTCCTACATCACTCAAGGATGGGGTGGCCCATATCTGACACTTCTGGGTGTGTTGAATAGCCAACCCCTCCCCCCTCAGTGTGTTGGGGTTCCTACCATTAGCGCCTATGTCACTACAGGACGGGGTGGCCACTATCTAACTTTTCTGAGTGTGTTGAATAGCCGATTACTGTGAAAGGATCTGCGAATGGAGGATGCTGAAGTGTGGGCGGAGCCATGCTCAGCTTGGTTGTATTTACCATTACGAAGGACCCCCCCGTGATTCAGGTAAGTTGGGGGCAGGTGTGGTCCTTGAAGGAGAGCTAATTCTTTATTTTGTTGGGATGTTCTTTGTGATGGTATTTTGTCTTATTAATACCGTAATTGGTTTTTTTTGTTATGTGCTGACACAGGGGTGAACAGACACTTCCACATGATCTGCATCCGGGACAAGTTCAGCCAGAATATTGGCCGTCAGATTTCATCGAAAGTCATCTGGGATCACCTCCGCACCATGTACGATATGCAGGCTTTGGTGAGTGCTTCCAACCACGCTCCATAACCCCTATAAAGTGAACCTGGTATGTGACAAGAATGGGTTTACCGTGTAATTGTCCAGACTCCATGTGGCCGATGGATAATGCAAATAACTACGATGCTTTGCTTGGCCTGCTTGTCAAGGACCTCACTCCCCGATGGTCAGTCTGGTCACCCTACAACTCAATGATGGTGTATTCAGCAAAGTTCCAGCAATATAAAACCACTTCATTGTCTTGTTTGCCTAAGATTTATTGTGAAGATGCGCAGGCATGCGCAGATAGACATCATAGAAGGAAGCTTGGCGCGTTTCACAGAAAGTGCTTGCTCATATTCATTCTGTATGATTAAAGGTTCCTTCTATGATGTCTTATCTGTATCCCTTCACAGTAAATCTTATGGCAAGCAAGAGGACGAGGCGATACTTTATTGGAAATTAGCTGAATACACCAGGGCTGGCCAAGGTCTGAAAGCCTTGAAGTGCTGGGGATATAAAGCCAGCTTCCTTGGGGCAGCAAATTTGTCAATGATCGTTTGGCCTTGTATGACTCTGATCCTGTTTTGTGGAATGATGATGCTGTATGTCAGGGGTAGGCAACCTTGGCACTCCAGCTGTGGTGAGACTAAATCCCCTCATGCCTGTGGCTATCGGAGTCTTGCAATGCCTCATAGGATCTGTAGTTTAACAACAGCTGGAGTGATAAGGATGCCTACTCCTGGGCACCAGTGCTCAGCTTAAGGTTAGGGGTTTGGGCATGTTGGGAATACTTGTTGTGGTACCAACAATCAATGAAGCTTATTTTTAAGCATCATGTGATTGACTTTCTGCTTTTTCACCACTGAACACTCACCCATTGAATAGTTGTGTTTATGAAACATTCACCAGCGTGTCCTTCACATTCTCAGCTGTTTACCTAACATCTGAATTACCCATTCAGGGTCACTGTACTTACCTTATGTGTGATACAGCCACTGTTACTTCCGCCACCACCGATCACTGTTATACCAAAGTTTGAAAAACAACTCCGCATCATGTTTATGATGAATTCCTTTGTTGGCATGCTCCATATTGAACGTTCTTTTATGATGGTTGATGATTAACTTGCTCCTTGAAGCTGTCTTCTTCTGGATTACTGAAACATTCCGACGTTCCCTCCTGATTAGCCAAGTGATCCTTTTTGCTTTGGTTTTTTCAGCATGAATCTGAGATCCTCCCATTCCCAAACTCTGAGAAGAACTTTATACTTCCCGAGGAGATCATCCAGGAGGTGAAGGAAGGTGAGATCTTACCTTTCCAGAGTCTATTATACAGTTAAAAAGAGAACTATGGGGTAACCTTTTTTTTATCCCATAGTTCTCTTTAGGGTCACGGGAGGACATATACTAGCCTCCTCCTGTGACCCAAAGCTCAGTATATAGCGGGCTATTGCCTGCTATATACTGAGAGCGCCACAGCCGGGACGGATCCCGACAATACTCTCGAGATCCACCCAGCTAGGTGATTGACAGCGGGCTCTGCCTATCTAGAGGCAGAGCCAGCTGTGCCCGCCCCTTCCAGTCCATTCCTCCAGTAACCTCTGGAGGATCAGAGAGGAGATCCCCAGCGGGGAGCAGTGAGTGACGGTCACCGCTTTCTGCAGGGAAATGATCTGGAAGTATGTGTTCGCTCACTTCCCGATCAATAGAGCTGACGCGTGACTGTTTCAATGTCACACATTGGCTCTAACTATGAGGATGAGTGAAAATCACTTACCCCATAGTTCTATGAATATCTCAAATTTTAGTCCACGCACGGGCCTAGTTATAGCACACAGAAACCAAAAATTTGGTGGTTTGTTTTTGATAGTTTTTGTTATTTTTAACCCTTACATGCCCTTTCACCACTAGCACTTTGCTTTGTTTGTCCTAATATTTCACATCCCTATTGAGAAATGGTAACTTTGGCTCCCGTAGACACTTCTCTTCCTCAACGTATCACATCTAAATAACCCTGAAAGAGAAGGATGTTTCTTGTAATCAGAAGAGAATTTTCTCTGTTCTGTCACTTGAATAAACATTGCGATGTTTCAGGTAAAGTAACCACAGAGGATGATGTGAAAGAAGAAGGCAAGGAAGACGTGGATGTCCATTCCGTCTCAGATGAAGGTGAGAAGTGTTTTCTTAGGCCCGGAGGAACTTGAAGGCATAATTTATCTTATAACTAGTGTCCCAAATCAGGCGAAGACCCCAGGAAGTATCGGAAGGAGGAAGTTGGTCACGTGACTTTGACAGGTCATGTGACCAGGCTCTCCTACTATGGCAGCGTGTTCTTTGCCGGAGTCTTATAACTGCAGGATAAGGCTCTCCGAGACACTACAGTTTATATTCCAAGCTGCAGCTGCATGTTATATCTGATTCATAAAGAAGACCTGCAGGCAAACCATAAAATGTACCATTGCAGTGAGGCTACCCCTGCAGCAAAAGGGTTAAGTGCTCATTTTGTCTATTGAGCTAAAAAAAAAGCTTTTTCACTTGCTGTTCCTCGGTTTCGCCGGCTCCCTCCAGGCTGCTAGCTTTTTCTTCCCTTCAATCCGGTGATCTATAGACTGCTGACGTCATCATGTCTTTTGAAGGTCCATTGACCTGCATTAGACGTGAGGATGCCAAAGTCTATTTCACAGCCAGAGTAGAGGGGGATGGAGGTGAGCGCTGACCATTGCAGAACCGAGGATCAGGTTAGTATATCTGCTTTATTTGAGTGTAGACAAAACAAGCACTTAACCCACTGCAGGGGTAAGCCTTTTTCTTTGTCCAGCGTTCATCTTTAAGAATGAGATGTAAAGGGCCGGTGCAGTTTGGAGTGTAACCTGTGGTGTCTAGGAGAGCCGTACCTCCCATATAAATTTGGCTCCTTGGTGAAGGGCTAGAACAGGGGTCGGCAACCCCCGGCACGCGTGCCCGGCTTGGCACGCGAGGCCACATCGGCTGGCACGCAGGCCCGGATTTCCCACAAGGCCACCGAGGCCCGGCCTCGGGGCGGCAGCGGTGACAGAAGGTTCCTGCTATCATCCACTGAATTGTAGGGATTTTATTTTTACCTCCTCCATTGCCATGTGGCAGAATGCCATTGTCTAGATATTACCCACATATTGTCTATAGATGCTCCAGTTCTTGCTCACATCTTTAACTAACTCTTCTACAACTTCAGGAAAGAGCGCGGACAAACCGAGCGCCAAGGAGAAAGAAAGAACCCTGTCCGAATCGGGCTCCAAAGAGCCGGGCGACAAAAGGAAGAGGAACCGTCAGACGGAGAAAGTTGTCAATGCCAGCAGTAATCCATCTAGTCCCAACGCCAACAAGAGGAGGCGCACGTAGGCTGAAAGGGCGCTATTAGGCCCGGAGGAGGCATGACATCATTCTCTCATCTCTGAGAAACTCATTTGTAACTGTTTGTAGATGGTCAGTAACCTGACAGCATACTTCTCAGGTGACATGGCTGCAGTTTTCTTAGTTCAGGTTCTAGAATGCACATTTGCTAAGGTTAATGTCACCTGGTATACTTCTGTCATGTGACATAAGTACCAGATGGGTCAAGCAGCCCTGCTTTGGGTTGGATGGTATCTTACACGTGTACTTCCCAAATGTTTTGGTGTTGAGATCTTGTGTGACATTGGCCTTTAAGCCCAAGAGCAGTGGTTGCACAATAAAAATGGAGTGCTACTATGTGAGGGGAATAAGAACCCTCCGCACTACTTCATGGGGGGATCGGGGAGCTAAGATTAGAGGGAAAATCTTCTTTAAAGTTTGTTGTGTTTCATAACTTCAGGCAGCCATTTTGTGAGCTTGACAATAAGCCCTTCTTTATACAGTGACACAACCAGTTCTGTGTCTTCGCTGTGGATAGATGACAGGTACACTTTAGTCTTTAGCGGACAGTTTCTAGAATTTCTGAATTGTATGTAGACTTGAAAGGCCCTTCCAAACGCACAAAAACCCAGCTAAGCCTACAAGACTAGTAGGCCTTTTATATTACGGTCTGCACCTCTGTTGATAATCCTGTTATTTAATGTTTTTAATCATGTTTTTTAAAGTATTTGTATTTAAAAAAAGAAAAAAAAGTAAAAAAAAAATGTTAAACATCCTGTTATGTTTGCTGTCTGTTGTTTTCTTTTGATAAATGTATACGTGTTTCCTGTATAAAGGAACAGATGATGGTTTTTGATTACGGAAGAGACCGGTTTTCGATTACGGAAGAGACCAGTTTACTGAAGTCAGAAGAGAAATTTTGGATTGGTCGATGTGTGGCACTTTACACGGAGCATTTTGTGGGGATAATGCGCTCACCGTGCACAGAGATTTTCCAGCATATGGCACAACGATCTAAGGCCAGCAGACTGAGAGCGATTGTCACTGGGGTTGGTTAGCTTTGCAGTTAGCCCTTTACACCAGGGGTGGGCAACTCTGGCTGTGCTTTAACTTCAAATCCCAAAACAGAAAATTGGAGACGGAAGCGCCACAACCTAGCGCAATGACAGTCTTGTAAAAGTTGGGAGGGAATGGTGTTCGAGCGAGTACCCACCCTATCACAGTACCACCCTATCACAGGTGAGTTGAACACCATTCACCCCCAACTTTTACAACACAGTCATTGCGCTAGGTTATGGCGCTTCCGTCTCCAGTTTTTTGTTTTGTAGCACACACGTCGGACACCCCGGTCCGGACATAGCAGAAGCCGCACACCAGCACAAGACACCCCCACAACACTGCCATCCCTCTCTCTCCCCCCTTTTCCCTATCACCCACCAGACTGCCAACTTCCTGTTTCTGGTTGTACTCCCACAACCCCACACCTAAACCCCCCCTCCGCCCTTTGAAGAGCGCTGTACACGGAACATTGCTCTCAATTTTCTGTAACTTCAAATGTAATCCCAACATGCTTCTATCTTTTAGAGTCATGCCTGTAACTGTCAGTCCTGCGATGCCTCATGGGACTTGTAGTTCCTCAACAGCTGGAGGGCCGGGTTGCCCATCCCTGCTTTACACCCACAAACAATAGCTACCACCAAGCATTTTAACGAAAATGTGCATCGTTCCTAGCAAATGCTGTGACAGTTCCGACCTAAAGCAAGGCCTGTGACGCTCGCTGTCCCTCCAGACAGCAATATAACAAGTTTTCCCCAGTCATCTTCCAGGACAGCCATCGAGATATAGGCTCCGCCTGCCTGCAACAGGAAACACATCAACCACATTAAAGTATGGTAGTGTTCTTTTCAGAGACAAGGATTCTTACAATCCTTAGAGCATAGCGATAAGCTTATCAATTTTATAAGATTGTTTAATAAAGGAAAACAGTGCAGTATACAGAACAGAGACAAATAATACAAAAGCAAACAAAAAGGGAACGGGAAAGAAGTTACTTAGTAAAGTCCTGCGTTCTTTGGGTTCCAGCAGAGTTCAGTCAATGAAACATAAACTGGATCTGCGATTGACTCCCTAAAACAAGTTTCTTGGCAGATATCCTTTGATAGTAAAGGAGAGCGCCGGCTGCCTTGTGCAGCAGCTTTTTGTGGGCCTTCCAGAGGGTGCCCCTGCACCAATTCCCCCACCCAGTCAGAAAGGGGTGTGATACAGGAGGGTAGAAGCGCTTTATGATATTCCTAATCACCCTCCAACAATGTCAGTTGATAGACGTCTGATATATGGCTTCCTCAGAAGGAATAATGTGTGCTATTGGCCCTTTGTACCTCATAAGACCGGGGTGCATGGTATGTATGTGACCGGTATTTTCTGACACTATTGAATATGCTCTTATTTTTAATGCGCTCCCAGGTCAAGAGTTATGGATTACGTGTAGATTTTGCAAACCCGGCTTTAACAGGGGCATTTGCAGGTCATGTGACTCCGGACTATCCGCATGGATTGTATCTTAATAGTTTTACGAATTGCCATTAGGCTCTGTGTTAGTTTTAGAGCCTGTCAATTGATGATCCTTTGCACACAGAGAATCTTTAGAATAATTCCTGGTGCTCCTACCACGAAGGACATTGTTCACGTGCTTCCTAAACATCTTCTAATTGTATTCCAGCATTGTAAACCTGTTACATTCATCTCTGCTGGAGTCTACAAGCAGCTGTGCTTTGCGGGCACCATTGTCACAGTGGGAAGCCGGTCCGGAGCAATGTGCAGCTGAGGCTTGAGCGAATGCATGCAGACAGGAAACGTCTGAAATGCAACAGAGGTTGAAAATTAGGTGAAAACAACCATTTTATCAAAAGAACATGGAAATTGTTTGAGATGCAAAGCTTTAGCAAGTTAAATGTCATCCAATTATTGTCTAGCGCTGCCCCAACCACTTGAGTCTTTCTCCCTAAATTTCATTTTGGTGATGTCTCTGTTCCACACATTATACCTTTTAGTGTTTGTAGTGTACCCTAACCTAGACAGATAGGGCTTTAAATTGATGGATACAGTATATTTTATTTCCTTGGTTTTTATTGGAAATAAATAGGGAAAATTATTTCTCTTTTTGTAATATTTCCCAATGCAATGTTCCCCTTTCAGTGCTACATGGCGACCCATGCAGGGGAAAAATTGTTTGCTTGCTCCCATATATTTCTGCTGAATAAAATATCACATTAGTGTGACTTTTATGTAATGTAGTGTAATGGTAAAGTGCAGGTATGTGTACTTTTATGATTTATTTATTTTATTTACCCCTTCCAGTGCCACATGGTGACCCATGCAGGGGAGAAATTATTGCAAAAATTGTATACATTTTTAGCATGATATTAAAATGAGATCGGGGTCAGGTTGATGAGGACACAAATTAGTACAGCATCTTGTTGTACATGAACAATTCAGATCATCTGACGTCATTGATGGGACCTGGTGAATAATTGTGAGAGGGAATGTTTGTATTTAAAACACACACACATATATATGTATACACACACACACCAACCAGCTGTAACATTATGACCACCCGGCTAATATTGAGTAGGTCCCCCTTTTGCCGCCAAAATAGCCCTGACCCGTCGAGGCACGGACTCCACTAGACCCTTTGAAGGTATGGACTGGCATCAAGCCGTCAGTAGCAGATCCTTTAAGTCCTGTAAATTGTGAGGTGGGGCCTCCATGGATAGGACTTGTTTTTCTAGCACATTCCACAGATGATCGAATGGATAGAGATAACATCCACATGAATGGCAGGACACAATGCTTCCCAACAGCACGTTGTCCAAAGCATCACACTGCCTCGTCTGGCTTACCTTCTTCCAATAGTCATCCTGGTGCTATCTCTTTCTTAGGTAAGTGACGCATCCACCTGACGTGAAAGAAAATGTGATTCATCAGACCAGGCCACCTTTTCCATTGCTCAATTGTCCAGTTCTGAAGTTCATTGTAAGCGCTTTTGGCGGTGGACACAGGTCAGCATGGGCACCCTGATCAGTTTACCGCTACGTAGCCTTATACACAACAAACTGCGATGCTCTGTGTGTTCAGACACCTTTCTATAACCAGCATTATCTTTTTCAGCAATTTGATCTACAGTAGCTCTTCTATCAGATCTGACTACACAGGCCAGCCTTTGCTCCACACGTACATCAATGAACCTTGGCCGCCCATGACTCTGTCACCGGTTTCCCTTCCTTGGACCACTTTTGGTCTGACCACTGCAGACCGGGAACATCCCACAAGAGCTGCAGTTTTGGAGTTGCTCTGACCCAGTTATCCAGCCATCACAATTTGGCTCTTGTCAAAGTCTTTAAAACCTTTACACTTGGCCATTTTTTCTACTTCCAACTCATCAACTTCAGGGACAAAATGTTCACTTGCTGCCTAATATATCCCCCCCACTTCCAGGTGTCATTGACCATTGTAATATACCCCCCCTCCCCCCTTCCAGGTGCCATTGTAATATATCTCCCCCATTCCAGGTGCCATTGTAACCAGATAATCAATGTTATTCTTGTCAGTGTTCACAATGTTATAATGACTGATCAGTGTGTATTTAATAAACGGCAGCGCAATCATTGTGCGACAAAACAAATTGGGCTTTCCACCATTTTATTCTCCAGGGTCTCTGCTTTCAGGAAATATATATACGTTTGGAGGGTAATTGAGCAATATTCAAGCCTAAAATGTGCATGTTAACATGAGTATGACAAAAAGGGTGTGACATGAAAGAGTGAAAAGCTTGAAAGGAAAGTGAAAGCAGTGTGTCAGCCGCACCTTCCCGGACGGCTCGAAGTTCACCCAACCTTCATCCTGTTGTGGTCAGATCTATCTCCAGGAAACAGAACTTCTGATAACTCCTAGGACGTGTCACCAGACTGCAGGTGAGCAAATTAACTATCACCGTCCCCTTACCTTTCCT